CTCAAGCCATACCGGCAGGTGCTCGCCCTGCAACCTCAACCCAAAACTTGAAAACCCCTTCCATCCTACAGCCGAAACCAATGAATCTGCAGGCCGGGCGTCGATACGATTGAGGAGGGGGAGCAGCTTGATGTGGAGCGACGGGCTTAAAAGACAGGTGTACATACCGCCTGAGGATGCCTGAACGCTCCCAGTCAGGACTTTCGGGTTTTGGGTTTGGGGCTTGAAGCTTTGAGGGTCTGTGTCTTTCGGCCTGAGGGTTCTTGAAGTGGTCGTGCTTCGCGATTGCTGCCAACCATCAGCTGTCACCTACTTCTCCTTGAGCACGGTCCACTGATGTGCAAGTGCAGTGAGCACTCGAAGCAAAGAGGAACAGCGATAGCGATGATACATAGTCACATGATTCCCAGTATCATTGACTCTCTCGCTTCTTGCTCTTAAGGTGTACAGAGCCCGGCTCGAAGGCTGTTTTCGCGGGGTAGGACCAAAGGGATCTGTATCGGAGTCGGTGCCTACGGCAAGGAGTGGAAGCAGCACTTTGAACCGCCACATATCACAATGACGATCACCTCGAGAGTGACCATGGTTTAGACAATTACCCAGGCTGACTTCAGCACGTGCCACATTGAAACTCCAACGCCGTAACACGTTGACACTTGGAAGGCCAGCCTCTTAACAGTGGAAAAAGAGGAAGTGCCGCCTTGAAGCCCCAGCCTTGCTCTGGAGTCTCAATTGTTGACTCAAGTAGTTGAAACTTGTTGCCGTGTTTCGGGGCTCAGATGAACATGCTTTGCGAGGATACGGGTCGTAGGCATGCAGGCACATATCGTGAGTTGTCTCTGGTGACCAGACGAGCTTTCAGCTTCCCCAAGGCCCGGTACCTACGATATGCTCCACCGCGCCCAAGTTGAGTGCTGGCGCCCGGAGTGCTACCTTGCAAGTTGAAGGTACTTTTACTTTACCCTGACGAGTATCACGGTCATGGTTCCGTCATTCTTGTGTCAGCGTCCCCGATAACGCGCAGCTTGCCACAATACTGTTGTGCTCGTGGCTCCCTTTTCGTTTCTTTTTTTTTTGGCTTGTTGCAGTCTTTGTGAGTCTTGTTTGCCTTGGACCAAGACACAACCGAAGAAGCAGAGAGTGCAAGAGCAACAGATATGTGATATGTGCACAGACCACCTAGAAGTCTGATAACCGGGAAGGGATTAGCCCGGAACTCGAGCGCGTGGGATGTCAGGTAACTGAGTTTCCTAAAGGCTTGAAGCCAAGCAGTGCCTGGAGGAGTTTCGGAAGCAATTCACAGCCTCCGATTAATGCTGTCAGCTGTAAAGAGAGAAGTGCCGTGAACAAGCAGCACTCGGCTGAAAGTAGTCCCCGGCCATCCCGACAGCCCTAGATTTTACCTAAACCCTAAACCCAAACCCCCTAGACCGAAAACTCAACATCCGGGTCCAGGTGGCCTTGCCTTTCCTTAGACGTTGTTCGGGATGACCTCGGAGCCCAGCGCCACATCCCCAGCAGCCTGGCACAGCCCGGTGCTGGCGGGACGCAGGGAGGTTCCTTTGGTCAGGAGGTATCAGGAGGTGACCGCTGCACGTGTTTCCGTGCTTTAAATGTTGCTGCCCTTGGGGTTCTTTTAAGCTGTTGACAGTCTCTGCGACTCAAGCTTACATCTGGGCCTGCATGGGCCACAATGATTTGCTTTCAACAAGTTGCTAGGCACTTCTTTCCCCATGACTGCCTACGTCGTGGCCGGGTCGCAGGCATCGAAAACAGAGGACCAGCCGCCAGTACGCTTTGGCTCCATGCCAGGCGGTCCGTATAAAAGCATAAGGAGCCGTGAGACGACCTTAGTCAGCTGGGAACCTGTGCTTGAGGACAACCGGCTCTACATGATGAAATGGTCCGCCACCCAGCTATTCCGAGGTCGAGAACAGCCCCAGTAAAAGCGTGTTTGGCAGCACAGCAGCACCATCAGCCGTTGTACCAGTGTTGCACACAGCGACAGGCACAAGCTGTACAAAACCTCGAAAGACGGCAAGGAGGCCATGTTGGGCTGGGATCGACCCGTTGGGATGTACATATCGTGCGTTCTTCCCGCCCAGGATGATGACGACGAGAGTGAGGAAGAGGAGGACAAGAAAGACAACTATGCGCAAGAAGACATCACAAGCCTTATCAAAGAACCGATACACTTAGCTACACTGCACCCTTTCTCGCTTCTCTTTCAAATTTCATGTGCCCTGCGGTGCAAGCACGGACTATACGTGACTAACATAGCAGCATGGGACCATTCCGAGTTGCCACGTGGACTGTTGCTGGCTTGGTTCTGCTGCCAGAAGACCGGCGCAACCAGGAAGTGGCATATAGTGGCATAGGTCGGAGCTTCGAGTATACATGCATGCAGAAACACATATGTAACATATGTACGTATACTTTATGTACATCTACACACGTCACGCAGACACACGCACACATACACGGCATACACGCATATATGTTCATGGCACACACACATATATTATATCTATTGATATATTTGTTTGTTTATTTATTAATGCATTTATGCATACTTTTTGTGTCTACACGCACGTGCACACACCAGGGATAGCTACAGCCAGGACAGTGACGATGAGCACGAGGCGGCGCTGGAGTTTGGAGCTCGGCGGCGACTTCACCGAGTTTTCGGCCCTGCGATCAGTTACACGAACACACAGCATGAGCGAGAGTGGTATAAGAAGACTTTATCGAGAGGTCAAAGACAACTCCTCATCCTGGCGGCGTTAATCGGGCTGGGTACTGAGATGCCGCAAGACTGGATGTAGATGGATGTAGCGGGCACAGGAGACTGTCTTTGGCAGTTCCTGATTCGGACGATCGGTCGGAAGCGTTTCAGACAACCTTGGACACTTGTGGTGATGCTTGGTAATGCCATGTAATGCCTATATTGGCTGCAAGCAGTGCGACGCATCTTCTTCCAAGCATCTGCTCACGAGGAGCCAGTGTGTAAGCCTAAACATTATCAAGGCTTGTCGTGTTTTATAAAACACTAAAACATTTTTTCTAAAACACGAAAAGCACTAGAACTCCGAAGACCCATCCCTCCCCCTAAACCCTAAACCCTAAACCCTAAACCCTAAACCCCTAAACCCCTCCACCCAGAGCTCCTTCAGGTGCGCTCCATGCCTCAAGCGGGTCACATCGTGGCGACATGGGCCGAGACTCGTCCAGTGAATTCAGCCCGCTAAGAGGCGCACTTTGCTTCTCTTGTAGGGTTTAGGGGCCTTGGGGTTTAGGGGTTAGGGTTTAGGGGCCTTAGGGTTTAGGGGTTAGGGTTTAGGGGTTAGGGTTTAGGCCAGTTTAGAGGGTAACAGGTTGGGACGTCGGTGTTTCGCTTCTTTCCCCCAACCGAGCTCTGCATTGACTGCCTAAACGTGTCAGAACTGGCTTGGTAACTTTTCGAGCGTTTAGGGGTACCTTATGTTGGGGTCCTTATGATAAGGATCCTACGATCTAGGGTACTACAATACTGTAGGGTCCGCTATGTTCGAAAACTCACAACTTGGTTCTCAGCCAGGCAAGGCTCGATATGCTTGGAATCAACAATTTTCGAGTGCTCAGGCAGGCATGAGGGCATGTGCGCTGCAGCTTCTGAACAACTATGAGTGAAGCTCTGACTGCAGTTTCCGCTGTTGCTGCTGCTGCTCCTGCTAGCGACGGATACCGCAGCCAAAACGACGATAGTAACATGACGATACCAAGGATACTGGCAAGGTGCACATGCAGGGAGCCCAAAACATCTGAAAAGACACAGCGGCGCTCTGTCGAGATTCCCAGCCGACCCACGCGTTGTTGGCTGAGGTGGAACCTGGACGCTCATCGAAAAGCGCTTGACAAGAGTGGGGATAGGGTGGGACCCTTCTATTCTTACTATTACTACTATTATTACCATTACGACGATTACTATTATTACTACTATTACTACTATTATTACTATTACTACTATTACTACTATTACTACTATTACTACTATTATTACTATTATTACTATTACTATTATACGGTGGGACCCTTCTTGCGATAGCTTGCGACGGGGGCAACTTCGGTCCATACTCTCCCAGCCAGGTGCCTCCGCAGGCCAAGCCCATCTTTACGAGTGAGGCCCACAAAGATGAGGCGGCAGAGAGAGCAACTTTTCGTCGAGAGCTCTGAGACGATTTCTGCTTCCCAGGGTTTCGCCATGGATTTCAGCCCGCACGACACGGGGCTGTTCCTTTCTGGAGGCTGGCGCCACTGTTACTTCGACGTGTGCGCAGGGCAATCCCCAGAATAGGTAACGATGCGCTGATCCTGCTTGCGGAGCCCGTGCCGGGAGGCCAGAGCTGAGAACGCTTTGAGCCTGGATGCGCGACTGGCCCTAAAGCTTCAACTCAACCCTAAATGCCGTAAAACCTACGCCCTGTCAGTGGGTCAGGACTGGCTGCAGAGATCGCCAGGCTGGAAGGTGGACTCGCAGCCCTTCAAGATGCACAAGTCCTCGGTCGAGGATGTCCAGCGTCTCGGCGGGACCGATGGACTTCGGGCTTGTCACGTGCTCACAGAGGCTTTGTTCTCGCTAGAAGAGCAGCGGAAGTACATGGCATCGCGTGAGGTTGCCATGGCTCCACTTTTAAGGTTGTCTTGGGCATCTCACAAGCTCTAGGTGCGACATCTGCGCGCATCTTGAACCGCTGAATTTTGGCTCATGCGCGCGGTTTGTTGCTTTGCAGGGGTTGGTGAAGCCTTACTAAGACATGTCCCCTTTAGTCGCTTCTCGCTCGACACCTTGGCACTCAAATCTCGGGTAGCAGGTCTAACCAAGCAAGAACGAAAAGTTGCGTTCGCTTCAATCTTAGCCATGATAGCTTATGCAGCTTAGCCTTGTTTAACACACCTCAGCGGCCGTCACTGGCGTCTGTTGCTTTGGAGACGTTCAGCCTGGTGGGCCTTCCGGTCGTGCCATGGACTCACCCAACGCCATTCGACTCTGCGTGGACCTCCTCCAGGATGCCTTCGGTGACGTGGTGGCCAAAGTCGGGGAAATGCTGTTGGAAAGGGGTCAGCTGACCATCCGAGAGATTCTGGCTTATGGAAAGGAGGTGGTTGATGATGACGATCTGACTTTTTCTCAGGTCCGCAATGCCTTGTTGGTTCTGACGCAGCACGGCCTTGTTAACTTTCATCCTTTCCGACAGTCGCAAGACGGTAAAGCCCACGTTCAGGTGTATGCCATAGACATTGAGGAGGTTCTCGCGCGGATCCGCTTTCCACAGTACCTGGAGTACGTCGGATGCAAGTATGGTCCGCTCGGGCAGGAGCTCCTGGAAGTGGTCTTCAAGTTCGGCCGGGTGGCACGACATGTCCTCCTCAAGGAGGCGTCGGCGTCCGGGCAGTCACCGTCTCCAGAGGAGATCCAGGAGGCCTTGCGGCTGTTGGTCACCGAGCGGATCCTGCGCCCCGTCGACAGAGATCGCTCCTCCTCGTCTCGCCCGGAAACGGCCGCGGCCTCGACCGCGGCGTCGTCTGCGGGCCCTTCCGGCCTGGCTCGCCGGGAGCCTCGGCCTGACAAGCGGAAGAGGCCGCGACTCGAGGATGTTATTTCGGCCGGCGCCGCGGAGCTCAGCCGAGAGGAGCCGACTGAGGAAGCGAACGAGATGAAAGATGCGGTATACCGCTACGACAGGGTGAACCTCGACCTGTGCCTTCGGAAAACCGCTCTCTGCCGGCTGGTGGAGGAACAGTCGAGTGAGCATGCAGCAACGGCGATGCATGCAATGCTGCATTGGGTGGTGCCGAACCAAAGCGGCGAAGGTGTGACGTCAAACTACGCCAACCTGGAACAGGTGTACCAGAAAAGTGCTGGCCTTCTCAAAGCTGAGGGTCGCGATCCCGCGCGTGTGAAGGAGAAGTTGCGCAGTAACCTCGACATACTTGCCAAACACCAAGACCAGATCTTGCGCAAGCGGGTTGCTGCCATCAAGGAGTCCGACATGAGCGAGTGGATTGTGGACTGGGATCGTGCATGTGAGTGTCTGCGCAGGATGGCCCTCTCACAGTTTATCCGGGATCGCTTTGGAAAGATAGGCTTGCGGATCTTCAACCTGCTTCTGGAGGAGAGTCCTCCGCAAAGGCTGGAAGAGGCTTACATCTTCAAAGCATGCATGATTCCGATGTTGGATGGGCGGGAGCTGCTCCAGAGCATGGCCAAAAACTCTGTCTTGTGCTGGCAGCAGGTGGCTCGGAGCAGTGATGGTGCCGTTGCAAATTCCGTTTGGCTCTACTACGTGGACATACGCCGCATGGTTCCCTCGATGTTGGATCTGGCCTACAACGCAATGCTGAACCTGAGGGTAAGGTTTAGAGCCGAAAGTGCTCGAGTGGCCCCAATGGAGAGCCGTGCCCTGTCCCTGGGCTCACGAGCCAGGCAAAGTCTGCGACAAGGCCGACGTGTGGAGGACCTCCTTGAGCGCTCCTTCTTGCTGCTGGATGCTTTGCCACTGCTCTGCCGATGAGTGCCAGCCGCAGACTTGAGACCTGTGGACTTGTCCAAGAGCCGAAATGCTGAGCCTCTGCCTGCCCTGTAGTCTACAGTCCCTATACATCCAAAGAGCCCCAAAACCGAGCTTCCTACATTGCTCCTACCCAGGTGGAAGAAGGTTGGTGCCGGAGCCAAGCCCGGGTCTCGCCACTTTTCGGATTTGGGACCTAAAGCCCCAGCTGCTGGGTTTGGGCACTTGGGGATGTGAAGGGATCCGATTCGGGCTTCCGACTTCGTTAAAGGCTTCAAGTCGGTTGTCGGCTTGAGGGTCTTCAGTCGTCAGGCAGGACTCAGCGGTTCATTCTGCATAAAGGGGTCTCGATGCCAGGTCTTTGATGGACTAGGTCGTAGGATGAATCAAGGATCCATCGTGCGTAAGGCGCTGGAGTCACCTTTTCTTACAGGTGTCGTCGGTACTTGTGACCTCGTTGGTCCGAGAGGTGTTCATGCTCCTGCCAGCGATAAGCTGTAAGGAGGAATTACCGCGTTTTTTTGTTTTTTTTTTTGTGTGTGTGTGTGTGGGGGGGGAGGGGGGGGGTGGGGCAGGTGGTGGGTTTAGACGTTGCGGGCTTACAGGGAGCGTTCTAAGGGCTGAGGAGGCTTTAGGTCCAAAGTCCAAAGGTCTGTGTCGAAAGGTCGATTCGTGATTCGTGATGCTTCTGAGGTCCAGCTTTGCTTCTTGCAGCTCCGATGGCAGCTGGAAGGTGTGGGATGTCCGGGAGAAGGCGGGCAGCTAAGACCTTAGCAGCAGTCAGGGTTGTGATCGAAAGTGGGTGCAGACTTTTTCTGTTTGGTTTGGAGGTTGGAGAGTAGGTTGTCAGGTTCTGCCAGATCGAGATTTCGTTGCCCCTTGAATAGTTCAGAGGGCTTCTCTCGTCGCGGCCGCCCAACGTTTTTACAGGCTTCTCCCCGCAGCGCTATCCTCGCAAGCTTGCGGTTGAGCCGGGTCCAGCTGAAGCAGTGCACCGATATGAGACAACGAACCACAATTTGCCAGGACAGAAAGAAAGCAGCAATTAATGTGCCTGAGGCTTGGATCTGCGTAGTCTTCGCGCAACAGGAATTCTGGGCACAAACCTCGCAAGCCGAGGCCTGATGCTCACGCCGGTTCCGATGTGAACGTCCTCAGCCGAACCCTGAGCCCTCAGACTCCCACTCTGGCGACGCAGAGATCCGATGTGTTTGAGGGTTTAGGGTTTAGGGTTTAGGGTTTAGGGGTTTAGGGTTTAGCGTTTAGGGTTTAGGTTTAGGGTTTAGGGGTTTAGGGTTAAGGGGAGACCCGAGGCTGGAGCCCCATCGTCGGTGAGTTGATCGTAACCGGTGCCGCACCACCGCTGCTATCGCTGCATCATCTACATTCACGTCGAAGCCCTTGCCGGTCACGTTTGAACCCAGCTGTTTGGAGATGAGGCCCTGAACCATGGAGGCAGTGTGCCGATAGCAACAATGCCAGCAGTAGCAGCAGCAGGAGCAAGCGGACTTGAAGGAATCGGGGCAGCAGACAGATGCTTTAAACAGCTGATCAGCATTGTGGCTCTCTTCCCGACGCCCCGCCCGGCAGGAGCCCTGCCATCATGCGATTTTCGATTAGGTTTCTATTCTGAGATATCATACGCTATGGCACATAATCGCATCTGTGCCTCGTCCTTGCTAGGTAGGAGGGAAAAGAGCCCTCAGCCCTACACTCCCAAACTCTAATGCTTGCATCTTTGGTCCTGTTTTCCTGAGCCATGGCTTCCCCGGCGGCCGGTGACTGGAGCCCTGGGAAGAGCTGGGATGATGAGAATGAAAGGTGGGCTTTAGGGTTTGAGGGATTCAGGGTTCGGGGCTTAGGATTGAGGGTTTAGGGGGTGTAGGGTTGGGCATCGGCCTCAGTACGGGTTCAAAAACGGGTTTAATCGGGCGGGGGTTTGTGAAACGTTCCCAAGCCTCATTCTGGAGAAAGGTCCTCCTGTGCCCTGAACGGAAGCCTGGAATCGTTCAAAAACGTGAGCTGCGACCGTTCCTTTAGTCTTTTTATCGGTTTGCGATGGTCATGGCAACCGGCACCTGGAGGACTCGTGATTTCGTTTTAGGTTCTGTTCAGATAGACCGGGCATACACTCAGACGGAAGTAGAGTTTGGAGTAATCCTGCCCCATGTAAACCTGCAAGACCTCGCAAGACGTCAGAAGAATTCTCTCTACTCAAGGTGCGTGTGGCGTGTTCGTTTTTGGTGCTCGGGTGTTGCATGTTGCATGTTATGATCTTCGGTGTGGCGGGATGATTTGGGTTCAAGGCTTGTCTGTGGAGCCGCGGTGCTGCGCCAAATCTTCAAGGAGTAACAAAGCATCTTACAAAGCACAGTTCATGATGGTGTTACATGGCCTCGTGGGGGCCAAGGGGGGGAGGGGGAGGGGACTTGCCGTGACATAGGCTTCACCTGTCGATGGCGCAGCTGCAGAACGAACTTCTGCGAGTGGAAGATGCCTGCAGAGCTTTGCAGGACCTGCTGCGATGTGTTTGGGGATGCTAGATGGGGATGTTGTACATACACACCACATGCTTAATGTTCGGCAAGTGCGTAAGTAACTAGGCAGTTAAGCAAGTAAGCGTGTAAGTACGTGCTAGTGAGTCAGGAACAAGCAAGTAAGAGGGCAACAGTGGGCAACACAGCAAGTAAGAAAGCAAGTGTCAGTAAGTAAGTTAGTCAGCCAGTCAATCGATCAGTCAGTCAATCAATCAATCAGTCAGTCAGTCAGTTAGTCAGTGAGTCCGTCGGTCGGTCAAGCAATACTTGCAGGTAGCAGTAAGTATGTATGTGAATATGTACGTATGTGCGCGTATGTGGATCTGCTTTTGTTCGGGCCTCTGTGCAAAATCAAAAAGTGGAACACAATCACCCAGCGGACTCTTTCCGCAAAAAGCGCGCAGTTTTGGACTGAGTATCGTGTTAATGTCGCACGACACCCTTGTCATGCTCGAAGCAGTATGTCTTATTGGAAGTTTGTGAAGATGAGCACTGCGCGGCTTGGAGTTGTCACTACCATGTTTGGACGCATGGGTTAGTGCATGGCAATGTGCGGGGTTTGTAAAACGGGGGCTCAGGCTCAGGGCCGGTTCAGGGTTAGGTCCTATGCAGGTCTTCGGGGTTTGGGGGATGATAGGGAATATTTACTCAAAGGGTCTTGCATTTTGTCGGCTTATGGCTGGCTTAGTGAAGCGGGTGTTTGATAGAGGGTGGCTGAGCGGCGTCATAACTCGATAACCGTTGACAAGAGTCCAAACTGACTCGCTGATGAAAGCTAGCCGCACAGTACCGGAGTACTTGGTTCATGTGCTGATGCGTATGTCTCTATTGACATATACATACACGTGCACACGTGCATACGGACAGACAGCCATCCATGCATACCTGCATTTGCACATGATGGATGCGAACAAACTGTAAATTGGGTACGAAAGTGCAGAACTACCAATAATGATGGTAATAATACGCGGAAGCTCCTTTCGTACTACCAGTATGGCATTAGCTCCCTAAAAACATCTAAAAACCCACTGTTAGGAGCTCAGAGCTCAGGTCCAGAGTTGACAGCATGCTATGCGGCTGTATATAGTAGAGGCTGAGTATAGCTTAGTGTAGTACAGTATAGTATAGGACAGTACAGTAGAGTATCGTGTGTGTTATTTTAAAGCATAATGTAGGGTAGTGTCGTGTAGCATCGCGTGTTACACACTTTATAGTATAGCGTCTAATTCCTAGTACAGTCTAGTTTACAGAGTGTGTAGTAAAGTTTATAGTGTCATGCAGTTGTTGGGTATAGTATCGGTTCAAGTACAGTGTAGGGTTCAATGCCCTCAGGCGGAGGAGGAAGCACAATGGCGACTCCCCATGAGGGGTGAGTCCATGCCATCAGTTCCTCACCTTCCTGATGGAGTTGTGCAGATGGCGTTGAACAGTTGGGTTTCAACAGTCTCGTTCGAGTTGTGGTGACTTGTGGCTTCACCGACCAACGGCTGCGCCACAAATAGTTAAAGAGGTTCGAGTTGCTTTCGAGTCAGTTGCCCTGGAGTTTGATGAGCCTGACTAGAGATGCGATGAGGCAGAATCACACCCCATCCCAGGCAGCAAGCCTGTCCGGCAGATATTAACCTCGCATACTACTCAAGCAAACCTGAAGCTCCGTGAGACTGGCCGCAACATTAAGTGATCAATCCATGCGGTGCGCCCGGCACCCTCGGATCTTTCGGCGCAAACTTAGTTAAGCATAACTGGCAGCAGTAACATAGCACGCAGCTGCGGCCGTGGTAGTAGCAGTCCTGGTCGTGTTTCGTGTCGGGTCAGTGGTGGTAGTAATCTCAGTAGGAGAGGCGGCGGTAGCAGCCCCCCGCAATCACAGAGTAGTGGTGGTGGCAGTAGTAGTGGTCGTCTTGGTTGGGGTTGTAGTGGTGCTGACGGTACGTACTTGCAACAGCAGCAGCGAGCAGCAGAAGGAGCCAGATGAGTAACAGCGGTAGAGTAGCAGTATGGCAGCAAAAGCGGAGGCAGAAGTAGCAGCAGCTCGAGCAGCAGCTCAAGCAGCAGCAGTAGCTAATCATAGCAGCACCAAAGCTTGTCACACTGATCCCCCTTGACTCATGACGCAACAAAGCTCAAATCATTGTCCAGCAAAACCCGAGAATTGCACGGGGCGGAGGCATGTTCTTTCAGAAGTGAAACACCGAGGATTCAAGCCACCGGACCCGTGGCGCTAGCCATTCCCCAAAGCCGAGGCGAGGGCTTCGTGGCCACTTCTTATTGGTTGTGCTGTTGAAGTTACGAACCAGACGAGAAACTTCTCGTTGCTACGATGGTGACGGGCGGAAGCAGTGGCGTGGTTGCTGGCGATGACTTGGACTTTCATGGTGATTGTGGGTGATGGTGTTGGTGATATTGACAATGATGCTTGTAATGATGGTGATCATGAAGTCACTGAAGATGATGATGGTGATTTTG